CCGATTAATCGGTTTCGATAATCGGCCAATTTTACATTTTGGTATTTTTGTTAGAATGTTACGTACAATGCTAGTAATAAAAACTAATAAATTTCTGTTATATATTTATTATTTATTACATGACAAACTGAATATTAAAAAAAATTTACTAATCAAATTATTCCTTTTATCGATTCATATTATAAGTATAATATAACGTATATTATAAAGTTTAAACTTTACATAAGAAAAAGTATTGAATAGCTAAGAAGAAAAATTAAATTTTTATTTGTTTTATAAGTTTAAAGTTTAAACATATAAAACAAATAAAAATTTAATATTTAAACTTTAAAACCCTTAAATTGTAATGCAAAAATATGAGAATTTCATCATTTTCAGGGCATAACCTATTTTTTGCCGGCTCATAAATGTTACCTCCAGTGCTGAAATTTATCAATCAGCATCTTTCAATGGAAGATGCTGAGGCAGTTAAATATTTCATAGATATTTTGCTCAAATTAGGAAAAAGTTTTTTTGAACTTTTCCACTACAAAAATATGTCACTATGTTTTTGTTTAAGGGATAAATGTAAATATGTTTCTAATTCTTGATCGAAACGTTTGTTCGCCTCGTTTTTTTAAACACGCTATTCTTCATTCTTTTGTTTACCAGAAGCTAATTCATCAAATAAATCAGAAAAACTTAGAAATTCACCTCCATCTTGATCACTCCAGAAGTAGAAGCTTCAAAATTTATTTCTTATTGAGATTTCCTCTACCATATTTTCTTTTTGAAATTTCATTTTGAATTTAATAACAATGACAAGCATAAAGACTTGTATTCTATATATGCTGAAAAATTTTTTTATTGGATTTTCTAGTTCTTCTGTTGTGGTATTAATGCCACTAAAGGAACTACTGATCTTTGCTGTTGATAAGAATAATTTCAAAGTTTCTATTGTGGGAATTATTGAAGATGAAGTGGCTTCCCGTTTGTTGGCTTTCCACAGTAATTTCTTTGAATTGTTTTACAAGTAGAATAATGTTTTCAACGAGAGACCACTGATATGGGCTCAACGTAGGAATTTTATTATCTATAGCATATCTGACAAGGGCCTTTTGCTGTTCCAACATGTAGTATGTAGAATTCCAGCGAGTAGGAACATCTTGAATTAATTTGTGTTTCTTCAAACCTAACTTTTCTTGCAAATCTTCCAATTTGATTACAGCTACAGCAGAATGATTAAAATGTGTGACAATATTTCTATTAACTGTGATTATAGTTTTCACATCCTGTTTAGAAAATATGCATTCGTTTAGTGTCAGCTGCAGCGTATGTATAAAGCATGATAATGCTTCTAAGTTGCAATTCCTAATTCCAGCTACCAGATTTGCTGCAGAATTTCTTAGTACTAAGAATATCTTATCACTTGTCAACTTATACTGTTCAAAAACAATTTTTAACTGTTCACTGATTCGTGTAGCTGTGTGGGAACTTTCAAAGGAAACAATTTGCAAAACAGCTCTTTCCTGCTGAAAATCATCCTTCAACCAGTGGGCTGTTACACTTAAAGAAGGAGAATTGTTTGTAGTTGCTGTCCAAATATCAGCGGTTAAAGAAATATATTTTGTTTCTGTTAAACACAGAAATACTTCAGCTTTTTAAACAATGTCGAAGTTTCCATGCATCAACAATTAAGTTTTGAGATTTATTTTAGAAACAAAGGAAGAGATTGTTGATTTTGCGAGGATATTGGATAGTCTCTTGTTTACCTGACCCAAGGGAGATGGAAATACCAGATGGAGAAAAATAGGTTTTTTCCACATTATAATTAACTGTATAATTAACTCCGGGATCTCACACTATTAATGCAATAAATTATTAACACTAATCGGCCGATTAATCGGTATCGGCCGATAATGCATGGCCGATTAATCGGTAATCGGCCATTTTGCTTATCGGTGCATCCTTACTTATTACTGCAAATTATCACTGCAAATTATCACTGTAATAAGATAAAGAAATTGATGCAGCTTATCACTGCAATTTCCTTATCTTATTACTCATCTCAAAAGTCAATTAATTTCTTTTCCTTCCTCTTCATCCAGGCCATTTGTTGAGACCAACACTATTCTAAATAGATGTGGAAATTGTGTTATCAACAATGAAGTCTCCATATTTATTACAAAACTAAGGATATAGAAGGAGTCTAAATGTCCTCATAAAAGATTAAATTATGGATTATAAAACTTTGAATTCTTTATGTAAATAAAATATATATGTCAGAGTATACAGTTGCATAACTTCAAACTCATGTAATAAAAAGAACTCCCTGTGACTAAAATAAGTTATTTATAAAATACAAAAAGACTTACACACATTGTTGGTATACCATTTTCTTTTTTATATAATCTTAACAACTGCACAAATGTACAGATTGAATTGTGAAGTCCTTGAATATCACAAGCAAGAAGTCTTATCTGAAATAATATGAGTATTGCATTAAATCAATTTTATTAACAACAAATCAACATTAAATTAATAAATAAATAGGCACACTGATTTATTTTGAAAACTCATTAATAGTATAATTTTTCTACTCTATTATGTCACAGATTATTGAAGTGAGTAAAATATTTTCTAATGTAAATGGATGAATAGAATTAATATGCCAAATGACTACCAGATTAAATCGGGATACTTCTCTGCATTTATTTAAGTCATTTGGCATATTACTAATATATCGGGTTTTCAGATGTCTGTGTATGTATGAATAGAAGACTATTCAAAAAACTCTGCCTTTTTTGTGTTGTTTAGTTTTTAAACTTGTAATATTTTAATATGTATTATCCTAAATTTTTAAATATTTTTAAAATATTATCTACTAGATATAATTTAAGTCATTCTGAATAGTACAAACACACTGCTTCTATTTGTGTCACCTGAGATTTCCATATAAACTACAAAAATGTCATAATTCTATAACTATTACAAATATCAGTGTGACTTTACAAATATAACCAAATGATTGCCTAAATAATCAGGCTATAATTGTGCTAATTTAATGATTAATACTAAGTAATTTGCTACTAGAGAAAGACATTAGGTGCCATCTCTTACCTAAATTAATAGTTATAATTTTAATAATTTATTAAATAATTTAGAACCATCTGGAAGAAAAAACTTGAGCTTGAACCTGCAACCTCCACTTGCTGTGTGGAACACTTACCAGTTGCACCACCCAGACCCTGAACAAGCCTTTGCTTCCAGATGAACCCATATCGGAATTTGTGATGTTTGATAGACTTTACAAATGTAAAGTTTTATTTCTTTCATGTATAATCTAACTAAGAATTTGAACTTATAACTGTCTTTTTTTGTTAATATAATCAAATCAATTTAATCACAAAAATATATTCACAAGTACATTCAATAAAAATATAAATTCTTCTTCTTCAGGCAAAGAATAATTGAAAAAACCAAACAACAGTTTTTTTTTAATTTATAAAAAATTATAAAATCAATCACTAATAGAGGGTTATTTTTTTCAACCTCAACTGACCCAGAATTAAAAAACAAGAATGAAGAAAAAAACCACTTTATTTGTGGAAGGTACAGTACAGTAGAACCCCAGTTAACGAACGTAATCCATTCCATGAGTCCGTTCGTTAACCAAAGCAATTTTTCCCATAGAAATTAATGCAAATACAATTAATCCATTCTAACCGTCAGTATTTTTGTAATTTTATTTGTAAAATGGGTTTTCTTTAATGAAAATATAGGAAAACATGCTCACAAACAGTCAATCTAGGTTAAATTTTCGGAAAAGGGGAAAAATTTGACGGGTATAAAAACATCACATACGATCGTTAAAGTTCTAAAATGACAGATAGCAGAAACAATATGCTAAATTATGAGTGAAAGTCTTATAGGTTTATCAACAATCTCTGATCAGAGTTGACGAACAGGTGTCAAATAAACGCCTCGGAACAAACCTTTCTTGTGACCTGATCTGGTTTCGGTTTTTACCTGGAGACAAAGAAGTAAACAATCGGGAAGTGAGGAATGGGACGCAGGACTAATCGTAAGGTGAGATTCAAGGAAGAAATACTATAAAAACCCCAAATCTCAAGGTCAAAATGCAGTTTTCCTAAAAATTCTATGACAATTAATCTGTATCGTCTTCATCTGGATTAAGCCTAAAGTCGTGCCCCTAAAATTTGTGTTGTGTCTTGCAGACACTCCAGTCATTGCAGCTCTGTCACCTACCATCACTTCTGTGACTAAGCGAACCCATCTCGTCCGCTCTGGGGCTACGACTTATCAGCTTGCACTATCATAGAACCAGCGATACGCCACTCCTCAGTGCCAAGAGAAAATACTGTAGATAAGCCATTTCCAACTACCTCAAATATGTAAGCATCTTCCCATTGTAATAAACGATTTTTACTGTAAAATACTTGTCATCTTTGTCTCCTTTGCCACCACCAATGTACGAATGGACCCTAGATCATTACCAACACACGATTAACTGATTTTCCCTAAAAGTCGGCAAGCTTACAAATTTGACACAAAAAAGCCATTAAGTTCGTTATCTGAATTTTGTTTGTTATCCAAGACAAAATTTTTGCAAAATAAAAGTTTGTTAACCGATTTGGTCATTAACCAGGACGTTCGTTAACTGAGGTTCCACTGTAGTTACAGCCTCCATCTATTTGTCCACATAACTGCCTTGTAGATTCAGGCAGACATCATACAATGACACCAGCTTTTGTATACCCATGTTGAAGAGCACTGCCACCAGGCCATTCAGCCAATCTTTAACACTGTCAGTCAGCAGTATATAGTGTGGACCTTGAAATTTGAGGAAACTTCTCAATGAGCTCAGAAATTGTGAACCGATGCCTTTCTTGCACCAACTGCTCCACTTTGTCCACCAAATCGTCGGTCATCATACACTTCTTCCCTTGACTGCTCTCATCATGAACTTTGTCATGTCCTTCTTTGAATTTCCTGCACCATTCACACACACATCTGTAGCTCATGAAGTTCTTACCATACACATTATACATCCTTCAATGAATTTCACCTCCATTCAACTCTTTGGCCATCAAATTACCGCTCATACTTCATAGTTGGTGGGAGACTGGATTGGTGGCATGTTTACTGCGGAGTAGCAAATGTCTAAAATAACTTGGCACAATGTCAAGTCGTGAAGGACTACACTACTCACTAGGTGTACACTCTGTCCCTGTCTCACATGCTTCCAATTTTTTCATGCATTAGTCATGATTGAAAAAAAAATAATAATCCTCGTATTTTATTTTGATTTATTCAAATTCAAATGTATGGACACCTAAAGACAGTTATACCTTTAATTCTTACTTGTAAAGTTTGGTATGCTTTGTCATATTTTTAAGTATACAGTGGGTAATCAATTAACAAACAGTTTGGACTATGAACAAATTTGATAACAAACACTTTCACGAAATATTTTTATGTTCAGACAACGAACACCTCACAGAACAAGCACAAGAAGCAGCAAAGTAAAATAATGAATACTGATTGGTTTTCCCTCGTCTTTGGGCAACAATTCAAAACTTTTTGGAGCGCGGGAGATGTCAATATTGACGCTCAACCCAGTATATACTGATCAGATAGTATTCCTCTAAACTTCGAAACTCTCCCTTGTAATTCCAGCCTGTTATTTTTCTGACAGAAACAATTCTTTTATAGTATTCGCGAGACTGTCAGGCGGACACTCGTTAAGTTTGGCGTCAGATTTTATTTTCGAAAGGTGAGAGTATAATAGTAAGGGTAGAGAGTGGACAGAAGATGTCTGATTTTGCTGGGCAGTATGGCTTGAACAGGTCTACAGTAGGCTGCATGTCAATCTTATCTAAGAAAGATACAGTATAATCAGAAAGACTCAAAAGCTAAAAGAGTAACAAAAATCACATCTCAGAAATAAAGAGCATTAAGAGCTCATAATGGAACCTGAAACGGATCTGACGACAGAAGAACGCCAAGAACTCTTGAATGAAGAAAACCAGCAAGACATGTTTTCTTCTGAAAAAGAGGATTAATGCCGATATCTGCTATTAAAGATCTTTCGAAAAAGTGGGAAGATGTCAGAACAATGGTCTTAGAATGGCATCCAAACCAGGTTGCAGTTAATAGGCTTAAGGATCTCTACAATTACAATGATATTAATTACTTCTGAAAAATCCTGATGAAGGGAAAAAGGCAATTGACATTGGACAGATTCTTTAACTCCCACAAACAGAAAAAATATGACTAATAAAAATGCAAGACTGCATATATATATATGTATTTTTACTATTACATATAAATAAACGTAGTAAGAAAGTATATATTTTTTATTTTTTGGAGTTTCCAGAATGAATTAATCAAATTACCATAAAAACCTATGGTAAATCGATAATCGGTTAATGAACAATTCAGATAGCAAACAAAGTCTTGGAATGAATTATGTTCGTTAACTGATCACCCATTGTATATTTAATAAATATATATTTTGTTTTTAAAATGTTTTATTATTGTAATGTATTGTATATTAATGTATTTTAGTACATTGATTTTATAGTCCTTTTTTTTTCTAGTCTTCATTTTGATTGTTTTATACATTTCTATTGTTTTTCATGTAATGCATATCATTATTGTTGTTTTTTGCTAATCTTTAAGGGTCTTTATCAGGGCAATTCATTCTTGTCCATTGAACTTTAATTTTAATTTAATTAATCTAATTAAAATTCCAATTAAAATACAATCTTTAATAGAAAATCAGTAACAATTTTCATCAAATTTATTTCCTGGTTTTAAAAATTTCATAATTTAAACTGTCTTCAAACATAACACAATGAAATAAAATAAAATTAAGCTGGAAATACTGTAACATGCCAATTTATCTATTTTAAAAACGCAGAAACTTTATTTGACTAATCATTCAATTTTATTTAGTTTCATTCTATTTTAAATCAATATATTTTTATATTTTATGTATTAATTAAATGTAGAAAAATAATTCAAATCATTATTTTTTTACATTTAATTTCTATCTAGCATTTTAGTTAATTAATGTACATAATTCTGTATATCTTGTATTTTGTTCCATATTTCAAATATTCAATATTCTAAATCTTAACACTGAAGACATTAAACTATAAAATTCACAAAAGCACTTAGTTATTAAACCAAAATTTTATTTTATTTTGTTGTGTAATGCTTGAATATAATTCAAGTTTGTGTTATAATTTACTGGCATGACTAAAATATAATATATTTCACACAAAGATTATTTTATTTACTTATGCAAATATTCTAAAGTTGTCATTTAATTCAATACATTGACTAAAAGAATAAAGCAAAGGCTAAGCAGTTAAAAGTTTGTTATTGCTTAGTCTTTGTTCAAAAACTTGCTAAATTACATTGATCATTTTTCTCCAAATAAAAAAAAAACTGTTCTTTGTTCATTTTATTCAAAGAAAAATTTCTTTAAATGGATAACAATAAGCTAAGTACTAAAAACTATTTGAAAATTTAAATTTTAAAAACAGTAGAGAGATACAGGTGCTCCCCTACTTAAGAACAGGTTAGGTTCCTGATGTTTTGTCAAAGACAAGATGTTCATAAGTTGAAAATGAATCTAGAAAGTAAATCTGTACACCACTGAATAACCGTGTATTGTTAGTGTTTGGTCCTTCATTGCATTATACTTAATAGAATACAATATGCTCATTTACCCATGTTTGAAACACTTGCTACTGCTTAGTAGCAGGTGTTTCAAATAGTTTTTCTCACCTAACACACTTAGTTTTATAATGTCAAGTTTAATTTCCACAGTAATAAGACAAACTTCTTCCATTTATTGCCACTAGATTTACCATTATGTTTTAGATGCATTTTTGAAGCACTAATCATAAAAGTTTACAAACAATAAAAAAAAATACCATTACTCCAATATTACCAACTTTGATGAAATGTCAGAATTCACACAAAAACAAAAACTGATGATATACAATAGAAATAAATCCACATTTATTATTTATTACTAGCTAAATAACAACTTCAACACCATCCCATAACCAGCAAGAGAACTTTGGAATTTGTGCAAAATTTAAGTTGTAAAGTCTGAAAGTTTGTAAGAAGTTCCTGTATAATGAAGCCACAATAAAATAGTGGCAAGTAGTAATGTCTAAATAAACATAAATCACCAAATAATCAAAATTTCTGAGTAAAAGAAATATTTAAACTTCTAACATAAAATAAGACAATCATTCAATATATTATGATTCAATACAACACGTTTATTTAATAATAGTACCTGAAATAATTTTTGAGATTGTAATATTTATTATGTTAGAAGACTTGTGTAAGATATGCAAAAGTTTCTTCAAACCAAGATATTAAATTAATTTCTGCTCAATAGTCATAAAAAACTATTACTGATACTAACCTGCTCGGATGAAATAACAATTCTGTAACTTTCAGGTCTAGTAAATATAGAAGAATTAATGTGACAGATGACTTTTTCTGCCAAACAGTCTGTTGGAAGAAAACTTTCAACATTTAATTTGTAACCAATTTCTTCTACATCCACTATAAAAGTCTTCCATAGATCTAAAACTTCTTTTATTGATGCTATAATGTAAAATATTTTTAATGAATGAATTTTTTTAAAGTAAGATGCTATATTTAATGACTTTTTCAATCAACTTGTCAACTTTTTAAAATTATTATTATTTATTATTCAAATAAATATAATTAAACGATAAAGTTAATACAAATTAATCCAGAATACAATTATTTTAAATAAGTTTGGTCAATGTCTTTATAAAATATTACAAAATAATAGTAATATTTATAAAATTACTTTATATTTTGTAATATTACAATCAAAATTCAAAGTTTGTCAAAATATTTCAGAAGTTTCATTACATCAAAATTGATTATATACAGAAATCTGACCTTATAAAGATAATCCTCAACTTTTGGACATAGCATATTCCTAAAAATATGTAAAAATATCAAAAATCCAAAATTCAAGCACTATCATTTCACATTTATAAAAAGGATTTGATTTCCAGAAAACCACAAAAAAAACCCTATAAAATCTCCTATTGATATAAAAAAATTTTAGTTTCTTACAGAGAATAGCAAATTAGAAATCATTACAGTGGTACTTTGTACTTCAAACGACTAACTTTGTATGCATCAGAGTTCAAATACTAAATTCCAGCAAAAAATTCACCTTGGAGTTCAAACGATGCTTTAAAGTGAACAGTGCATGCAGTGAAAAAATGTATTCAAAGCATAAATGCAATCTTCAAGTCATCTCTCACTCTAGCATCACACTCATATGTTTTCGGTGCTTTTTTGCTTTATTTTTGACATATTTTGTTATATATACACTGCATGTTATTTGCCAATTTTTAATAATTCTTCCTGCAATTTTTCTTTGCCAACTGGTTATGTTTTGTATCCTTTAAAAAGTTATGTTCAGGAAATTTGAACTAAACCATATTTGACATGTTTGAAGTTTAGGAACATCTTTGTACACATTATGCAGTACAAATTTGTGCAGTGTTATATCCTTTTCAAAACTCATGAAGTACAATGTGGTGCTGATATGTTTTTTATTTAAAGATCTTTCAACTTGATTTTACACAAACAAAATGTGAAGTAAAAAGTTTAAAATAAGCTTCTAAACAAAGAATACAATCGCACATTAGCAACAATGCGTTAAATTTGAAAACCATTATAATTAAATTACACATGTACTTTAAGTAACTACAGCTGTTAAAAATATGCAAAATTTTTCTGTTCAACCCCAACATATTTATGTATTTTATTTATTGTTTTTGTGTTTTAATTTATTATTAGAGCATTTAATTGTGTTATTTTTACCTTAAATTATATATATATTTGCTGTTTTAAGTTTATCAAAATGGACATTGTTTAGGGTCTGGAAACAGATTAATTCGCTTTCCATATTTCTAATGGGAAAAATCAAGACGGAGTTCAAACAGTCTCTGTAATAAACAAAATACAAAGTACTAGGTACCACTATATTTACAATATAGAAACTAAATAAAAACACATACAAATTATCTTTCTTTTCTCTATAATTCTTACAAGTTTGAGAATTTCAATACAGCACTTCTAACATCCAAAGGTTTTCAATGATGATGATATTACAATTTTATTCACTTATCATTACAAATGCATTTCAGAACAATGTATAATTTCATTCCCTCTGCAGTGCTAATCCTAAACAAAAATCAGTATTTTACATATCATCACTGTTCTGATTTCTATACAATGATTACATCATTACTTACAGTTTAAAAAAGTTCTGACAATTCTAATATATCAACATCATATACCACAAAAAATTGTTAACAAATCTCTCCTGTATCACTACTTTACATTATTAAACATTACTCCAATATTTTATTATTACATAATTAAAATAACACTTAATTATTTTACTTCATAATGATACTTCTTTTTACTTACTATTTTTACTTGGTTAGAAGTGCTGCATTAAAATTCTCAAACTTACTTGTAAAGATTACAGAGAAAATATAGATACAATTACAGAATCCCTTATCTGTATAACATAAAAATTAATTTGTTTCAGTAATTTCTGATGTTACCAAAACCAAACCTAACAGAAAGTATCACTTCTTGATAATTCAAACATTTTATTTGTTAAATCCATCCAATGAACAAAGTGATAAATAAATACAAATACACTGCACTAACCTTGTATAGATTTACAGATAATATTTAGAATGTAACACTAATGTTTTTGACTCATTTCTAGGGTCTTCTTCAGGTGTTCTATAAATTTTTCTGGTGCAATATGAGTTTAGTTCTGATTTTTAAATGTTCCAGTCTCCAATGCTTCTATCTTCAAAATTTATTTTTTTTAATTTCAAAATTTAAATCTCCAAAAGATGTGCACCTATTATATATGGCAGGCATTTGGAGATTTAAATTTTGAAATTTTAAAAAACAAATTTTGAAGCTAGAAGCATTGGAGACTGGAATGTCTAAAAATCAGAACTAAACTCATATTGCATCAGAAAAATTTATAGAACACCTGAAGAATACCCTAGAAATGGGTCGAAAATGTTAGTGTTACATTCTAAATATTATCTGCAAAGCTATACAAGGTTAGTGTGACGTATTTGTATTTTATTTGTTGGATAAAAGTATACAAAAGTGCAAATTTGATGTACAAAATGCAAGTTGAAGTTATCAAAATATAGTATATGAAAGAGCAAATTGACCCAAGAACAAATGTCTGAAAGTCGAGGGTTACCCATGATAAAAATCAAAAACCAACTTACCATTATCTGGGCTATGAATAACATTGACAGTTATGTCATCTGATAATATAAAATTGTCATCTTTTGTTTGAATAATTTTCTGCGGCAAAGGCCATAAAAGATGTAACTGTCCATCTGTGATAATTGGCAATGGCATGGTCGCATTAGATAATTTGGAGACCTGAAATAAATTTATATAATAAAGTTATTTTTCCTTATTATATTTATTATTTCTTTAAACTTATTTTATAAAAAATATTAGAATATTCAAATCAAAATTATTATAAAATATTTAAACAAATTTTTATGGCTATTTTAATATTAAATATTACTTTATTATGTAACTAGCAGACCCCGCCACACGTTGTTGTGGCTCAAAATGTATCTATTATAAATGTATAACACTTCCCCCATGGGGGGAAATTTTTCAAAAAATCCCTTTGTGTACATTTTCTTGATGTACCCTATTAAAATGCAATCAAAAACGCAAAAAACCGCATCTGAAATAGTATAATAGAAGCCAAGTTCTTCACGGTAAGCCTTAATCCTGTCCTTCTCCCCTGTGGGGGGGGAATATCGAAAAATCCCTTTGTAGTGTGTATTCTGTTGACGTACCCTATAAAAACGCAATCAAAAACGCAAAAAACTGCATCTAAAATAGTATAAATAGAGGCAGAGTTCTTTATAGTAAGACTTAATCCTGTCCATCTCCTGGGGGGGGGATTTCGACATGTATATTATATAAAAACATGTGCATATTACAATGCAGCGTTGTGTCAAAATTTCAAAGGAATTGGTAGGAACAAACAAACATTACATTTTTATTTATATAGATAGATAGAAGATGATCTGCTTTAGTTATTTTCACAGAAAAGCATAATGCCTCACAGAAAAGTAAACTTAGGGTGTCATACTCGTAGCGCCATCTGTTGGACATAAAAGCCTTAACCTAGATTATATATTTTAATTTATATGAATGTTTAATGGAATAATATACAGCCTATGTCCACCCTGAGGTTCTATTCTAAATATTGATGAAAGAATTTTTGAAATCAGATGAGTAGTTTCGGAGATTACCTGCTGCAAACAAACTTACATACATACATACATACA